AGTCATGTTTTATGAATTAAAATTATAAATACAAGCTCTTTTTCTTTCTTTCCTTAAAACCTTCGATAAAGTTCTATTCATTTACTTTGATGTTTGGCAAGTTCAGTGAGTTCCTTTCATCTGCTGTGTAATATGTTGAACAGAGTACTGGAATCAGAAATTAAATTTCTTTTCTTAAAAGCCATATATGAACATATGATCTTCATTCATATTTGTCAAGAAACAAAGGCTAGATGCAGAATCAAGACTCAGCTCCGGCACTCTCTCTTCAAGAAAGTCAAGTCTGGGCTTTGTTTTTACATCTTGTGCTTCCCAGTCTCCCCTGGTCCTTAACATAGTTTTCAAACTATTCATTTCTGTTTTTAATCCTTACAATAAAGTATAAGTTCCTGAAAGTACGAGGCTATGGCATGTGCACCCTCAACCTTAAGCACAGTATCTGCTTGTAGTGAGTCTTGTTTTATTCATTGTGAACCAAATAAATATCATCCTGATATTTTACAAAAGCATTGTCACCATGGTTAGTTAACTACTTATTAGCAAACAAAAGAAAGCAGAAGGAATTAGACCTGGAGGTTAGCATACTGGGGAGCAGGAGCCTGTTTGCTAGGCCAGGAAGCTGCAGCTCGTGCCTGCTCCTTCGCACACTGCAGGGACTGCTGCTGAGGAGATGAGATTCTAAGAGCACAGAAAATTGCCACAGCAACATTGTGTGCCCTGTAGTACCGGGTTGTTGGGGGGTGCAAATGGGGCGCTTGACCAAAGAGCCCTGTCAGTCTAACTAGAGGGTGGGCTATTAAAAAACCTTCAAAAGCTTGGGAATTTGATGGGTTCTTTTGGAGAAGCACCTGGTTTGTCCCAAACTTAAGCTAATGTAATCCTAGGGTGTTGGGAACCTTAACCTGGCTTCTAGCTAAAAACATTGCATTGATTACAGGAACCTGTGCGCTCCACAAGCCAATCGGCTACAGGCACATGAGGTGTGCATGCGCTCCACAAGCCAATCAGCTACAGGCACATGAGGTGTCCACGAGTACCAGTTGCACCCAAGTAATCAATAAGCGGGCCCTTCTTTGTCTCAAGCTAGCCAATAGCAAGCAACCTAATCTCCTTCCTTTCCCTCCCCCCCTATATATATACCCAGTTCGGAAAAATAAAGTTTGCAGCTTGATCAGAATCTTTTGTCTTGCTGCCATTCTTCGAGCCTCTTGTCCCCCCAACTCATTTGTTTTAGGTAGGTGGTCGAGCCCCAGTTGATTGCTCCGCGGGCCGGAGCACTAGTGGAACAAGTAAGATGTCTGTCTGACTGTCTGTCTCTCTCTCTCTCCCTGTCTCTTCTCTTGGGAGCCCACTTCCACCCCTCATCTTCATGCAGTAGCAGGGGACGATGTGACTTTATGGGTTTAGCAGCTACTGGGGCCTGCAGCAGATGGCGTGAGCCCTGAAGGACTAAACTTTAATATGAAGCAGAGACTTTGGACATTAGCCTTTGTTGTGGCCTTGCTGAAGGCAAGGTTGGACTTCTTCCATGGTGGGACAGAGGGAGATGAGAAATTGGAAACTCAAGGGCAGCCTTCCACCTGAACAAACCATCTTGCCACAGCACGATCTCCTGTATGGGGGTCCCTGAAATGCTTTCCTCATGATCATGGAAAACCCTCATTTCCATCAACAACAGCATGGCTATATGAACAGGTTGGCAGGGCCTCTTCCAGGATTTGAAAGGGGGCTTTACAAGTCTAAGTCCCTGAAGCATTTTTACTATTGTTTTCCTTTTTTTAAAAACCCTCAGCTAAGCATATTTTTCATTGTTTTTAGAGAGAGAGGAAGGGAGGGAGAGAAACACTGATGTGAGAGACAAACATAGTTTGGTTGCCTTTCATATGCAGCCTGAGCAGAGACTGAATCTGAAACCTAGGCATGTGCCCTGAGAGTTAGAGGGCAACGTTCTTGAATCTTAAGGTTCATGAAGTCCGCAGGGAATCCTTGGTATGAAGTTGGTGCTAAACACATGGTTGATTGCTCTTTGTAATTAAAGGGCAGAATGAGTACATAGTATGCTAAGCATGTCTGAAGAGAACGTGACCCCCAGAGACAGCATATACTGCACTGCGCATTGTATTTATAAACAGACTTCCTCTGCGGGTTTTGGCTGAGTGGAGTCTTCATTAATACATTGGTGGGGATGTCCGCTGCAGAATCCGGCAATTTTCTAATACGGTGATTGGGATACAGCCCTACCCCTGAAGGAGTTCAGAGGCCAGCCTCATTATTTGTGAGAAGTGGTAAAAAAAAAAACAACCAAGCCTAGTGAATGAGGTGCGCACTTTAAGACAAGTCAGAGTACATCAGCCAAACCTTCAGGCATCTTCTGCTGCTTAATCCATTTTCGTTTTTCTTGAGGTTGACAAGTAGAAGGGTTAAATGCCAAATTCCGATTGTTCTCCAGACTTTGGAAAGATACTGAGGCACCAAATCTGAAAGCACTTAAAAAAAATCTTATATAAATGACAGTGGCATTAAAAAATAAATGATAAAGTCACCATTCTCTTTTAGTCTTACCACAAATATACCTGAGTTTCAATCTCTTAGTTTTTGAAATATTCACAGTATTTCTTACCTAGTCTAACCTTCCACCAGCATGTCCTGCTTCACAAATTCATGAGTATCTGAGAAAATGAGACCACATGAATGATCCTATTTTCTGTATTTGTAAATTAAACTTAAAATTGCTTAAATAACAAATTTTTGGAAATGGAAGCAATTCATCTTCTTTCTAAAATTAAAACCTAATCAAATAGTATTAATTCAAATTTAGATTTACATGTATGTATGTTTGTATAAATAAGGTGGTTAAAACCCTTTTTTAAAAAAAGCTTTAGTCAGTATTCACCATCCTGGGCATATTAAAATATAATTGTAATGAGCAATAAGGAAATCAAAACACAATTCATGAAGTAAATATCTGCAGTTATCATCAGAGACAGAATTTCTCATTCTGCTATTAAAGACAATACTATTTAAACTGTGTGGCCATCATGTGTGGGAATCATTTCCCTTTGAAATACATAGGAAACAAATGTATGTTACATTCCTTCCCCACACCAGAACATGGAAATAGAAGTGGAAAAATAGTTTAAACCCAAAATTTCCAGAGTAAACTAAAACATAATTCTGCCCTTTAACTTATCTGTACATCTCTATAACTCTGGACATAGCCAAATTCAATGCTATGTGAAACTGCAGAAGTACATTAAGAGGTACGAAACAGGTTCCTGAAAATGTACATTTTATTTTCAAAACATTTCCACTGACACATAAGAAATTTAATTTTTTAGTCTTTTTTGGCCTGTCTGTCCTATCGGTGCAGGCCTATATTTATATACAGACACCGACAAATAACAGTATTTATGTGAGTTAACTCACATCTCTAATTGAAATCTCCCCTCTCTTCCTGTTAACCATAGAATGGCCACCCACAATGCTTGTTCAATTCCAGAAGTTTCCTGCTCATTTAAGCAAGATCCTGGAGGCAGAATTCATGAGGGATTAACACTCTAAAGCACCCTTTCACCATGAATCTCAAGTCATTTTGCACATTTTAATTTATTCTCGCAAAGCCACAGAGAGGAAGTTGACTGCCAGGCCTGTTTTTCAGAAAGGTTCTCTTAAATAGGGAGAGATTCAAGTAGAGTGGGTGTGTTTCCTTCCAGAATACCTAGGTCAAACATGAAACAGTTTAAAAAGTGAAATGTTTGAATTTTAACCTAAAAATTACTTTTTAAAAGAGGTATCATAAAAGCTCCAAACAGGATTGTAATCAGCTCTTTCAAGTAAAGCACACACACATACACTTTTACAAATAAACATTGTATTTAAATGACTGTGCTGATAAAGGCTGAAAGAAGAAAACCATAATGGAGCCTAAATCTGTTTATGATTAAAATCTAAAACGCACATTTTTTTCATGTGGCTTAGAACATAGAGGTCAACAAGATACTTTTATTACATGTATGAAAGAATTTAACACACAGCAAATATACGTGAAATATACTACAAGTACGTTTGATTTATCTTCTTTTACAGTTCCATTAATTATGTTTATAAGCAAAACAAAACAAAAGTGAATGTATTCTGTTTTCTAATATATTTCAGGGCTAAACTATCCTGTATACTTATCCCTAGGGAATTAGAAATTTTGTTTAACATATGAGGATGCAACTTTTGAAAAACTAGATGGCAACTATTAATATCCCAAATTAAAAACAAAGTTCTTGCTTTGATAAGGTTGTATGCTCTTGCCAACTTCCAGGAACTGACCAAAGCAGCCAAAATCTAGTTTATTTTCAACATAAATATCTTCAGAAAGTGACCTACTCCAAAGTCACTGCTCTATTTCTCCATAGATCAAATTTGAAAAATGTTTAAACAATGTTAAGGAAAACAATACATAGAATAATGGCATTTGAGTGTATTTTCAATTATAATTTTCAAAAAAATGAAGGAGGAAAATAAATTAGGGTTGTTTTCTGAGGAATTAGAAGAGAAGATTCCTAAATCAATATACTATTCATGTAATAGTTTTTAGTATACGTAAAGAGTTATGCTTGTCACAATTTTCAAGCGTATTTATCACCTTGAAATGAAACTCTGTTTCCATTAGCAGTTTTGACCAATAAAATGTTTAAAGTGGTTGCTGTGAATCCCCACTTTTGATCCTTCAATCTGGACCACTCCGGTGTTCCGTGCATCCTTTGCATTTCCTCCTCTTTTATGGAGCATGGAATGGTAAGATGTCCCAGTACAGTGGTAAGTTTCCACCTCTGCAGCCGGATGGCTTGTGCTTAAATCCTGGTTTCCTTCCGTACAAGCCTGGTTTCTCTGGCAAATTACTAAGTCTCATTGTGCCTCAGCTTTCCTTCTGAAGAATGGGAATGAAGGAAGTAGTAGTAACTCCAGCATAACTCTATAGCATTATTGGGCCATTAAACAAGAAATGTATACTTACCTGGCAGGGGAGACACCATGACCACGAAGGTGGTTTTTGCAGGGTGAGGCTTATCCATCACACTCTGGATGTGCTGACCCCTGCAATTTCCCCAAATGTGGGAAACTCAACTGCATAATTTGTGGTAGTAGGGGGACTGTGTTTGCACTCTAAACAAAAAAAAGAAATATAAAGCACTTAAACAGTTTATAATATATATACTAACCATCTTCATCAATTCAAATAGTTTTAGATTCTTGTCTATCAAGAGAAAAATAGTTGTATTATCAACTCTCAGCTATAACAGATAAAACTGGAATGTAAAAAGTCATCTGTTTCAAATTTATAGGATTTTTTAATGTACAGAAAGATGAAATAACTTTCTCAGAATACATGAAATAATTCAAAGTTCTTTTTAAATTATGTAAACCATGTTGAAAGTGGAGAGCAATTGAGAAGATAAGAATATCTATTTCTATGCCATTCACTGTAATTTATTACTCAGAAGCATATGAGTGATGACTTTTAAAATCAGGAGTATCTATTCATGATACAAACAGAGCAGATAGATGCTATGTTAGAGAACTGGTTAACATTTATTTATTTGTTGTGAACCAACAGGGCGCATGCTGGCTGTAAAGCCAGTTGCTAGGATTATCCTCAGGTGGATCAAATTAACTTCATCCGGCAGGATGTCACCGACTGCTGGAATGCCCATGTTTGTGTATATTATGTCGCCTTCCGAAGCCAGAAGAAGTCTGCACGAGGTCCCACTCACAGCAGACACACGACGCTGTGCCCAGCCACTTTCTACTTCACACCAGCGTGAACTCACTGAACTTTGGGTGAACTTTCCTGCTCAGTCAAGTACATTTTTAATGCAGTCTATCCTATTTAAGCCTAATTTGTATTTCATTTCACAACCTTGCCATTTAGCACAAGCCCGTTGAGATAGATTTAAGAGCAGCATCTAATCTGAAGTCTAAATGACACTCAATATGTACACCAAGGACACCCTTTCTGTCCCTGAAATGCATCCTGAAGGGGGGAACAAATGGGCAAACATCTTTATTTCACTCTGTGTTTCTAAGTCGTCTTCTCTTACAGTGAAAAATAACATACTGTTTTTGCAATGTATAATTTTTTTCATAACAAGAATCATGAATTCTTTTAATAACACACAACTGGAATAATATGGCCAATATCGTCCATCTCCAAAAAAAATAGCGTTTTCATTTAAGACTCACCAGTAGTGCATTTTTGCAGTCTTGGGTATGACAGATTATATGTTAAGGCAACTTTCTTGTCACAGGAGAGGGCAACATGCCTAAGAGATTTATAAATTTTTATTTTAAAAAAGGATTCTTCGCATACCAAAATATAGGCTTCCATTAACCCAATCGTAGGGAAGATAAATTTTAGCAGGGCAATTATTTTTTAAAGTTCAGATGGCCACACATAAATTTTTTCCTTAGATTCAGCACATTTTTTAGTTATCTGCTAGGAACATTAAGTCTTTCAATATAGACCAGCTTTTCTGGGGGGAAGTGGAGGGAATGTTCTTTCTTTTCTCTTCTAATATATTTCAAATTTATTTTGTTTGGATAGGCCTTTGGAATAGTTGCTACTTGTTTCCAAAGTGCTTCTGGAAATTGTACTCCTAATTAAATATAAAGCATGCAGAGTAAAAATATTCTATAACGGATACACAATTTTATACTTGGGTTTAAGCAACACTTTGTGAACACAATTTTTAGGCTGTATCCATTTGCTGAATCAATGTGTGTAGTATATACATTTAATCTAAAGGCCCTTCAGAAGATGCAATGATAGATAACAGAAGCTTTTTATTTTTACTATGACTTTATAGAATTTTATGGTGGATAACAATAATCATTGCTTTTACTAAGCATCTGGGTTGTAAAAATAAGACATCCACCTCAGTACACACCATATTTGAACAAGGTAGACATTAGTGCAGGTGAAATAATTTTATTGAGCACCTACTATGTAACAAGCAGTATAAATATTCATGGTGCCAACTAAAAATCCTTGCTTATACAGAGAATGCACTGACTAAGTGTTGTAAGAAAGGAATAGCCAGTTCCTATGTTATTACTGTCAGAGGAGGGTGAGATTATTTCTTGTGGATGAGACAGCATTCGAACAAACATTTAGGTTTGGAAATGCAGACTTGAGGGAGAAGAAAACCAAGCCATCTGAATTACCATCATTGTCAGGTCTACAAAATGGCTGTTGTTTAGGAGAACTTGTAAGGTTGGGGAACTTCTGTCAAAAGCTGGAGTTTATATTTCTTATTCTTATACTACTCTAAACTACTGATTTCAGTTCATATCACATAGAGATATAATAAAATAATACAACAGAGCTACTTTTATTGTATTTATAGACTCTTTGAAATTAAGAGGGAAGGAAAAGCAATTTAAATCAAACAAACCCAGAGTGTTCTGCGAGATGGCCAACCAGCAATCACTGCTGCAAAACTGTCCCTGTGCAATCCACATAGGTTCACAATGTAGCCAAAATTAGCCCGAGAACATGGTATGGTTTAGAAATTACTGGAGCAAAAAGGCAATCTAAGAATAAAGCAGGATCATTTGCACTCGATATTCTAAATAACACAGTCCTGATTTTTCTTAGGGACTAGTCCAATATATTATGGGAAATGGACATACCTGCAGTCAAGGCATCTATTGCTGATGGATGGTCTCTGGCCAGTCAATTGCTATTCTTCGGTGTGTATACAATGAGCATGCTATCTGCGGAACATGATCCTATAAGAGAAGAATTTCTTTTGCACTGAAAGCTAAAAATGTATATGTTTTCTTGGATATTATCTACACTTTTAACAACGACATCTTGAGGTATTTGAGACTCTCAGTTTCCACTTAATTCTCACAAATTATTTTTAACCTTCATTAAATCTTTTCTTCTGAATAACAACTGTTAGGAGAATTGGAAGCCAAAGAGAAGAGAGATGCCTCCTTTTCCACTCCAGTGGTGTCTGCATTTCAGAGGGAGAGATTCCCAACTATGGTGTGTATTTCCTTTTTAAAGAGTTGGAGGATTCACTGGGAACGGCAGCATAGTATATTGTAAGAGCTATGATAATTATTATAATTACTATTATTATAATGATGTGGGCTGCCTGCAGCAAGAAATGAGTTTCTGAGCAATGGAAGTGATTTTATAATCTAACGGGGCAAAAGTCATTTAGCTCTCTAATCACCAAAATGGAAACATTTAGTGACTGTCAAATCTCTCGACGTAAATAAAGTTTTGCAAAACAATATTATCTACAAATTAATATGAATATATTCATGATGTTACTTTTGATTGTTACACCACAGTTGTCCTCTGCTGATTATTTCCATTAGAATTAATTTAAAATTATTACAAATGTAAGAACACACACACACAACCAAAACAAATGTACGCCCAACTCCATACAACCAGGTAGCACATGTTTTCAGAGATTTCTTAACTTATTAAAAACCAATCATCCTCAAGAAAAAAATCTAGATTTCAGCTGGCCACAGAATTATCTTTGAGGATACACATTTCTGTGTGGAAGATTTATGTGTTTCTTAAATTCCAACATTAGTAAACATTCAAGACCTTTTCAGTCATTTATAACCACTGATAACCCCCATGTTTATGATAATCAATAGAATAAAGATTCCAACTGCTGCATCCACAGAAGAGAAAGAAAAGTTTTGTAGGTTGTAGTAGAGATGAGGTATGGAAAATGAAGTCACCTTCAATGTATAATAAAATATGTTTATCTCCCAGATATATTGTTCTGCAGTTGAGCTTGAAAAAAGTAGCAGAAAATACTTGAAGATAGTACACTTTTGGTACTTTTGGCCTCACAGCATAAATATGACCTAATAAAAGCCATCAAATATTTAAGAGAATGGAGAAGTGGTTGAAAAAGGAATTACACCATCTTATGAAAACATTACTGCATGTCTTGCTTTTAAAAAAAATCAATGTTTATAGTTTTAACTATTCAGTTGTGAAAGCATTAAATACTATCATGTTTGCCATTAGCATTATATTAAGAAGTGACCATGACTAGGGTTATGTTAAAACAAAATAAGGTCCATACAGACTTTTTAAAATTCATAATTCTTTCTTAAAGAGCATATGACTATGAACATATATAGAAAATAGTACTTACATTCTCTAGTCCTTCCTTCTCTTTTTTATAAATGAGTATTTTTCTGTTTCCATGAACAAAAAATTAGATGATTTTATTTAGTCTATCAAAAGTGATAGATAAGGGTAATGGAGTAACCCTCTGAGACAACCTACTGTCTATCAAAGGATCATAAAAAAATCTACTTACATTTTTAAAAACCTACTTATCTTTGGGTAAGCAATCTATTGAAAAGGTTTATTAAACTCCAAATCCAATCAGGTATAGAGTCAACTGGCTTACCCATTTTTTAAAAGTTTAGTTTCCAAATTGCCTTGACATTTTCAGTTCCCCAATAAACTGGAAGTTCATTATTTAGCCATATGTCAGAATGCATTGCCTCAAACTTTTCTTTCTCCTCTCTTGTTCTTCCTACCTGGAAAAGTTGGCATAAAGAGAACATTTGTCCAATCTGCAATATGACAACCACAGGGGGACCCTATTTTCTCAACGACAAATTGCCCTGGGTCAAGTCCTTTGCAATTTGGGGCCAAACAGGAAAAAAAACAGTTTGATTTAGAAAGCTAATCCATACAAAGTAAATATGAAAGGGTGATACTATACCTTAATGTCCTGCTCATATAAAATCAGGTTATTAATGATCTTCACTGCATTAAAAGTTTAGTCTACCTACAAGTAGCTCTCTTTTTGTTGATGAAATTATTATAAACTCCAAGTAACAAAACTAAAATCTAAATAGAAAGGCAATTGAACCATAAAGCACAACTTTCTGTATGTTTGCATTTCTGTAAGTCTAAATTTCGATGTGTATGCTAAGTGACCTTGGTGTTCACTTCTGGAAACAGATTCACACTGTAAAATGAGCTGTTGTTTGCTGGTTCTCTGCACAGTTTTCACAACAGATTACCAAGATGCTGGAGGAAAGAAGCTTCCATGGCACACAGAGCCTCATCTTTCTGGACAGAACCCATCCATCTCTGCTGCTTCAGG